TGCTGAACCACTAGCACAGCTCCTAACACACTTCTGGCCACTGCCAGTTAGTGTCTCCTCAACAAAGCCCAGGCAGGGTTTGGGGGCAGCACAGGGCAGGGACAATTTTCAGCAGCCAGCAAGGACGGGGATGTATGAAAAAATCAATTTCAAAATTTGTTACAGGTCTGTGTGCTGATGAAACACAACTATATATGACAAATGTATTTAAAATATTTTAAGATTTCAATATCCAACAGCCAGAGATTATAACCATTTCATGGTATCACACAAGAAAATATCTGCAAACAGTTTCAGTGTTTACCAAAACGAGCTCTGCGCAGCGTTGAACTGTAAAAATGTGTGATATTTATGATGCTTATGTATTTTAAAGTCAATAGTAAGCAGTTAAATTCCTTTTTTCCTCTTGGACATGTCTGCATACATTACAGACACTATATCACCAACAACCTGTGCATCATGGGAAAACCAGGTAACACCATCACCAGTGCTGAGATTTCATCATAAGCACAGCTTGATGAAAAAACAACTTCTAACAGAAGGTGAACAGAGTATTCAGTTGTAGTGCTAAAGGTCAAGCTGTGTAACATGAACCACAGCTGAATGAATGTAACATAAGACTTTCCTATTACTATTTCAAGTGGCTTAGGCCAAGTAGAAGCATTCCCTCTGGTTAAGCCATGAACTGTTTAAATAAATATGTCCCTTTAATTTTGCCAAATGCAAAAGGCTCACTACAGGATACTTTCTGCTCTTTGAGTAGCACTGGATCTATGTGGTTGGCTTACACAGTCACATCTACTTGGATAAAACTCAGCTTTGTAACCGGTGCAAATTACGTATTTGTTAAATCCATGAATCAAGAATAATTTGCCTACGTTTTATTGTAATTCATAGGAGTTTTGTTGCTCAGGTAATAGATTGTATCCTATAACAAACTAAAAAATTTAACTATAGCTTCCAATGAGCCAAGTTTTTCTCCAGCTGGAAAATTAGTTGGTCTACAATACATTTACATTCATGGATACCAAAGTCTGGTTTCTCCGAAGTCCAAGCAAAACTTGTGCTGCCAGCAAGAGGTTCAGGATGCCACTTACTCTCTTGTATGAGCCCACATAAAAAACGTGTGCTGGTGCTATCTACCTCTTGGAAAGCTCCTAGTGCTCCTGTTTTCAGACACCACCTACCCAGCTTGTTTGCCAGATGACAGTGCCCAGGAGGGCTTAGTCTGCATGGAAAGTTTTGTATTTTTAATTATTTTTTTCCTTTCCTTTTGACCAGCAGTGTGCCCAGGTGGTCAACAGGGCCAATGGAATCCTCACCTGTGTTAGAATTAGTGTGGCAAGCAGGACCAGGGAGGTGATCATCCCTCTGTACTTGGCACTGGTGAGGCCACACCTTAAATACTGTGTCCAGTTTTGAGCACCTCAATACAAGAAAGATATCAAGGTGCTAGAACGTGTCCAAAGAAGGGCAAAGAAGCTGGTGAAGGGCCTTAAGAGTAAGTCTTATGAAGGGCAGCTGAGGGAACTGGGGCTATTTAGTCTGAAAGAAAGGAGACTGAGGGGAGACCTCATCACATCACATCATTACAACTACCTGAAAGGGTGTTGTAAAGAGGTCGGTGCTGGTCTCTTCTCACAATTAACTGGTGATAAAACAAGAGGAAATGGCTTCAAGCTGCACCAGGGGAGGTTTAGACTAGACTTTAGGAAGAACTTTTTCACTGAAAGGGTTGTCAGACATTGGAACATGCTGCTCAGGGAGGAGTCAGCATCTCTGGATGTGTTTAGAAGTCATCTAGATGTGGTGCTTGGGAATATGGCTTAGTGCTGGACTTGGAAGAGAAGCATTAATGGTTGGACTCAATGATCTTAAAGGTCTTTTCCAACCTAAATGATTCTATGATTCCATGACCCTGTTGTTTTTTTTTCCACATGAAACACGGAAAAACAGTACCAGCAGCAGAGTAAGAATTCAGGGTTGCAGAAGTAAGGATGGGAGATTTGTAAAATGCACACTATCATTATTTTGTATTTAAAAGAAAACGACCAACCCGGCTATTTCAAAGCTGGCAGAAAACAGCTTTCTGGGAGCACCTTCTGAATAGCACCATTTGCTTAAAACACATATGCAAAAGTAACTATTACTGAATATGCAGATATTTAATACTCAGCAATACTTAGTTCAGCTCTTCCTGCACCTGTGTATTTACCTACCATAGGAGAGCAGCAGCAGGGAATACTCACAGCTTTTGCGAAGACCCCCATAAGCTCTGGGAACTGATGTGTCAGGAGGGCTAGCATGGCTGTGAAAGAACATAGCCCAGCAGTGAAAAGGATGAAGAAGGGAAGCTCTTTCTTGGGGTAAACTGAAACTTCATGAAATGCTGTAGAAAAAAAGGCAGGAAAGGGAATGGATTATATATTAAAAACCAATTTAAAACAAACCAAACCAAACAACATTCCCACATGGTTTAAAGAGCCAGAGATGCTAAATGATGCTTTTGAAAGAAGAAACACATAGAAGGTCTGAAACATCTAAGGTCAACGTTGTTGCATCAGTCTTCTCAAATCCTATTGCTATTTATACACATAAAACATTACTCTTCTCTTTTGCCTACTTTTTTTACTTCAGTGACCAGCTCTCATCTCATCATACTTGCTGACAACATAAGCACAGGGTAATCCAGCAACAGACAGGACAATATCCTTGGCTGCATTCATTCAGAGTGAAGCAGCCTCCAAAACCAACAGCATGAATTCATAAGAGTTTAAAATAAAAACACAGATTATTTGCAACTCCTCTTTGATTTCAATTACATTTAGAGATTGGGAAGTACCAAATAATGGACTTTGCAAGTCTGAGATTTCTTGTGCTCAGTTTTTTACACTTGCTTTTGACACAGGCAAAAGTTTGTTGTTCCAGTTTATTATCCAGTCATGGCAAAAGTTTTGTGATTGATATTTTTAATTTGGATAGCCTATCAGATCTGAGTGTTCCAATAGAATTCCAGCTGAGTTTCCTTTAGAACACTCACAATTAAAGGGTGTGGACAGGTATGCAAAACTGCTTTAAACAATCTGTGTCTGTCATGGTACATTAAACCCTTCCCAAACCCAAGAGATTTTGCAGTGAAAGGCATTTCCCATTAACTGCCAGAGCAGAATACACTGTCAGCATATGCTGTTCAACAAGTCCCTCGCTTCTAACATTTGACAAGAATGATTAGTTTTGTATCTAAAAAGAGAACACTGAGCTATTCTGAATGGCTGTCATTCCTAAATATCCTGACACTCTACTCTCCCCAGCTCAGCATCCCTCTGAGTAAAGCAAGCAGAACACTCTAAGAGGTGTTGTTATAATTAGGGTGATTATAATGGGGTGGGGAGATATTGTCAGTTGCCAAGGATTTCTGTGTAATAACAGCAAGAACATACTGTGAAGGAAAGACTCACAATGAGTGGATTTTTGCTGTATTATTCTCACCTAATGTTTACTCACATAGGCTTATAAAAAGTGGCAACACATTTTCCAGCTCAAACCAGGGAGGTTCTGAATGAAATAATACAAAGACTGCAAAAAAACCCTCAAAACCAGCCTTTGCAGCAGAAGCAGGCTATGTTTTACTTTTTCCAAAACAAATTTCTCTTTATTCCTTCTTCAAGATAGAGAAGGTGAGAGAAGAATCTCCTTCTTTGGATCAACTTGTAATTGCCTCCTCTGCCCTGACCCTGCAAACCCTTCTGCACTTGAGTGTTTTGCTTGAGCTCTCACAGTCTCCCTGACTTCAGAAAGAAAACATGTAGGAATGAGGTGTAACTGCAAGACTGGCTGCTTTGGTGCTTCCACTGCATTCTTGTTGCTTCACTGCATGCACTGCAAGAAGTCCAATTACCTTGGGCTGTAATGCTTCCTGAGGGCTGCATCTGTCTATAGCTGCATCTTGCAGAGCACTGGGAGTGCTGTTGGTACTTTGCTAATACATGCCATAAACACATACAATAAATGACTGAGGTAATTTCACATCAATCTCCTTCTAATAGCACGCACATCAATTACATGAAGAAAACCCTTCCTTGGTATTTAAGACTGCTTTTCAGAAAACATCAGAATAACCTCTCAGAATAACATCTGTGTTCATGATCCAGCTGTCCTCAAGCATGTGTGATCCTGCCTTTGGAATTTAAATAGATGATGTGTCTACAAAAGATGAACAAAGCTGTGCCACTGTGCTTTTGGTTTGATGGAATGTTACCTTAGATGAAAGATCAGACATATTTTCCAGTGTCCTGAGAAGAGAAAACAGCAGGATCTAACTGATTTATATCCATTCAGTAATCTCTCTCCCTGTCCCCACACTGTCAACAACAATGGAGCTAGCTAATCATTACAAACTATGGCTAGAAGCTGCCTCTTAAACCATCATGGGAACCCCAAAGACTCCCTGTCAACCTGATTATTCTAATCCAGTGTATTCAATGTAAAAGGCATTAATGGAGATTTAATTTACTCAGGTAAACAATTCTTTGATGTCAACAATAAGAATAGAAAAGTTGAACATACATGGTAGCAGTTCTCTATCTGCAGTTTCTGTACAAATAGGGTAAGGGTAGAAAAGATGTCCTTTTTCCAGTGGATAGGGAATCATTCTGAAAGCTGAAAGGAAAAAAAACCCACCATGCACAAGTTACTGCAAGTGTGGCACTCACTGGACATACTTAACGGTATTTACAATTTTGAAAAACAAACACAGACAGAACACAACATTTATATTTGGTTGCAAACAGCATATAAATTGCTTAATGAAATGCCAAAATATAAATCTACACTTGGCTTTTAATCCTGCAAGCATTTATGGTTATGTTTATTCTTGAGAGAATGTTAATGACCATCAACTGAGACCACATTACAAGTACATTCATAAATGTTTGCATGATCAGAGCCTATTGTACTTACAATTCCATACACAAGGTTACACATTTTGTCTTAGCCTTTTAGGCTGCAGAATGTTTAAAATTCAGGGGAAAGAAGTGTATCTGATATAACAGATATAGCCTACAAAAATGGCCAGCCAATCTTGTGAATTGAGGCCAATACTTGCAATCTCTGTGGATCAAGCATAATAGTTTTGTATGGTAAAAAGTACACTATCTTTTTCCTCTCATACTCCAGCAAATCAGGTAACACCGAGAACCAGTTTTCCAACAGTCATGTTTTCATTTTATATTTGGCAATCAAAGATGAATACTGAATAATTAAAATCAGGTTCCTCACATGCATTCTTTTTAAATGTAGCAGATCAAGTCAGATTTCCAATATAAATCCTCACATAACGGATTAAATAATACTTAATAATATGTGGTTTTAAAATTGAAAATAATAGCAGAGGGGGAGGAAAATCGATTTATAAATCTGGATGGTTGATGTCATAGACCATCTCTGTGTGTTTTATGGAAATACCAGAATAATTGACTGAAATATAGCTTTTCAATCAAGGCATCCTTTTCCATTATCCTATATATTATTCTCACTGTTAAAATGTCATCAGCATGTTATTCTCACTACTCCTACAAACATCAGCCACTGAAGCAATATTTTCCTCAACAGATGTCCTAGAAGCTCTGTATATTTTACATGTGACGTACAGCACAGTAAGGATGTTGCTTTTACAAAACAAGTGAAAAATCTCCAAATAGATGTTGTTGAATTCAAACAGTTATCTTTGACATGAGACCCCATATGGAATCCTTACAGAAAAACAGTTTCTTTAGCAATGTTATCAGTCATGGAAGGAAGTGCTCTGGTTCATCTGTATCAGTTTGTGTTTACATAAGTCCTTCTCTGCCTTACTCTTACAGTATTATCTGATCCTATCAATTCAGGTAGCACAGTTTGTTTGCCATTCAACCATGTGCTACAGTAGCATTTGAGAGCCCTTTGGTTTTTCTTCTTCATGCAAACAACAGGAAATATGACACAAGCTTAAAAATTGACTGACAAACAAGCACCTCAGAATCTTTTCAAATTCTGCTACACTTCAAACCACAGGCCTTCTGTACACAGCATCTGAACCAAACCCAGAGCAATGTTTCACGTGGTGTCACTTGGGCTTTTCCAGTTGTACTATGAATAAAGCTGTACTCTGACTGATCGAATGAAGACAAAACAGGAAAGAACCAACATTCCAGTGCAATGATGATAATTATTTTTATAACCTCACTTTTCTCAGTTGTTGAGTGCAATTTGGGAAAAAACGCTCTCAGAGAAATGTTCCAGTTTAAAAGATCCCAAAGGTGCTTCTTAATTTTGTTAGAGGCTGTCTTAATTAGGGGTGACCTTATTCTCCTCATATGCATTCCCAATGTACCCCCCAAATGACTGACAATGCACTTAATTCTGCCCAACTCACATCATGTCAGAACTGAACAGTTTATAAATGTGGGCATTAAATTCTTACATTAAAGCTACTGAAGTGAGACTCACTGTTTAAGCACAACGACAAAATAGCACACTTTAAAGATACGGCAAGAACATAAAAAATTAGAAAACAATCTGAGAGGAACTGACCATGTATTGTATGTAGATTGTTTGTTAGAACTAGTAGTCAATTAAACTGAATTTCTCTGGCATGTTTCCACTGACTGGTTTTAACTCACAATTATGCAGAGATGCCAAGGAAACCTTTTGCAAGTAAACAACAGAAAAGTGACATAAAGAGTTCACCACATCTTGTAAAAAATATTACCCACACAAAGATATGGACCAAAAGTTATGATTAATGGACCAGACACTGGTAAAAACATTGAGACGCTTGTGAATCCTTATGAGTGAATAAAATCCGAACAAAATTCTTGAGGATTGGTGCACTCTTCATCTCTGTCTGAAATCACTGTGCAAACTGAATTATGGATTTCTCTTTAGAAGTTATGCAATTATAATAATTTACAGGGTACTATGCAAATATTAGCTAATAAAATACATATTCAGATCTCTGTGGATGTAATAATAATAAGAATCAGTTAATGCAGTACGATAGGAATGCCCTACACTGCCTTCAGGCACAGATGACTAGATTTCCTAAGTGGCACAAGGACTGCAGGGCAAACAGCCTCCTGTGCCAAAAGCTGGCCCTAGTGAACAGCCCCTTAGGGACTCCCCAGCCTGATAAAGCAATAGAAAATGTATTCATGATTCCCTGCAAAACACTGCTCCATAATGATAGGATAATGAACCTTGGGTGCTAAAGGACCTGTGCAAGTATCAGGAAGAGAAGAAACACTAAGTAAAAGTAAACCACTGAAAATAAGCCACTGGGAAGGAAACTATGACAGAGAAAATAACTGTCAGGGAGAAATGACAGGAAAAAAGCAAGCAGGTAGGACAGAGAGCAATGCAGCAGCACAAACCACAGGTGGCGGCAGTATGAATGACTGAGCAAGGTGTTCTATACACCTAGAAATAAAGCCACTGCTTCCTCAGGGAGCCTATGTTGAAAATTAGGCAAGTTTAGGCTTTTTAATATGATGACTGAGATAGTAAGTCACTTTAACAATGAAGATATCAAGTGCTTTCCATAGGGATTATGATGAAAAACTGTATCTTTTCTAACAAACTTACATGAAAACAGTAAATGAAGGGAACAGAAGAAAGCAGAGCAGAGAAGGGGAATCACGTTACAGAAAGAAAAATCTGCATTAAAAAAAGCCCACAGAGGCTGATTCTAAATGCCACTTGTTAACTCTCTGGAACCTGAAAAGAGCACATCTCAAAGATGATAAAATATTTTAGGTTAGAAGGCTCGTATATGATTCCAGCCTCCTACTCAAAGTAGTGTCATTTTCAAAGTTCGCTCTGGTTGCCTGGGGTCATGTCCAGTCGAGCTCTGAGTATCTCTGTGGATGGAGATGCCAAAACCTACCAGCAACCTGTTCCAGTGCCTCACTACACTCATTCTGAAAATATGTTCTTTATGTCTAAATGAAATTTCTCTTGCTGCAGCTTGTGTCTGTTGCCTCTTGTCTTTCTGTTGTGCCCTGCTGAGAAGACTTCAACTTTGCTTTCCATAGTATTTCTCCATTGGGTGGCGGAAGACAGCAACTGGATTCCTTCTTCACCTACCGCAAGTCTTTTACAGGTTGAATAAAACCAGCTCCCTCAGTGTCTTTTCCTGCTTCACATGTTCCAGTCCACTATAACATCCTAGTGGTCCTCCACTGGACTGACTCCAGTTTGTCAATTAAATATTAATTAATAGTACAAATCAAAGCAGTATTTTATGGTTTTGTTGTTTGTTTCTGTTTTATTTTTTCTGCTTATAAGGCACTGTCATAATTTTCCAATATCAAAGCCTTCAAATAATGACAAAAAATATTTCCAACTCAGTCATGAGGAAGGTAAATTATTATCCCCTTTTCTATGAGTAAGAAAATATGTCACAAAGACGATGGGAAATTTTGTTCATTGTTACACAGGAAACACAGTCCTTTAAAAACACAGAATTTAGAACCCTTTTCCCCATTTAAACAAAGTTTATATTTTCAGTTTGAATTTAAAATATTTCAATGCTGGTAAGGATATAATTGACCTCCAAAATTCCCACATACTGTACTTCACAAAAAACTATTTTTTTCTCATATTTTATTTGTAACGAAGAGAATTACTTATTACTTACTGCCTTCCCAGGTACAGTGTAAGAGATTCAATGCCCCCTCTACTCTTTTCCAGTGCTGAAGATGAAAGAAAGCATATGCTATTGCTTCACTGTCCCCTCTCTTCAGAATATGTTCAGGGGGGAGAATTAAGCTTTTCATTTCTAGTAGATACTGCAATAAAAAAAGGAAAGCACAATTATTTAAAAGGTAATAAAAAACCACAAAGAGCTGCCTGCAATTCTACAATGCACACTGGAATAGTTTATTTCCCTGAAGTACTTTCCCTCATAAGTGTTTCATCAAACGTGTAACATCACTGACTGCACTTGAAGATAATTATTGAATGATTCCCAAAGACTAAGATATGCTGACAGATGGTTAATGTTCTGCTTTTCAGCTGTAGTAGAGGGACTATAGAGAATTTCAAAATGAGATGTGTCTTCTGTCAAAGGAGATGCAAAAAAGGGCTCAAAGCAGAAAAGAGAATATAGTTACAAGAGATTTTAATTAGAAGTATTTATAATAAAATGAAGAACATACTGATGTACATAGTTTTTCTATAAGGAAACATGCAGTACTCATAGCTTAAACACACAAGTTCCTTTACTGCATTGCTATCAACTGGTTGCTACAGCTATGAATAAGCTAAATTGGCAGTTATTAAACAGCTACTAAGTAAAAAAAAAAAAAAAAAAAAAAAAAAAAAAAAAAAAAAAAAAAAAAAATTAGAA